ATCGTATCGTTTCAGATGCAGTTCGTTCTCTAGTTAGATACATTTGAATCGCAGATTTAATATCTTTCAATTTGTAATTAGGAGTTGTCTTGTTGTATTTGTTATCTAGCTCCTTATTGATTTCTTTAGTCATTTCAGGAGGCATGACAATTTGGTAAAATAAACCTCGTATTGATTCTGAGTTCCATATAAATCCAGTAGATTCGATTTCAGAAACGAGAGAGTCAACCTTAGACATATGATTTATCATTTCGGTCTCATTTAAGTCTAAGCGTAAATTCATCAAACGATTGAAAAGTGAAAACTGTGCTGTGCGTCCACCTCTTCTAAAATGATTCTGCAGAGCATCCATTGCATCATAAGCTGAATCCGCATCATCCGTTACGTTCTTTAAAGTATTATGAATAGTGTTATTGATTACACTCATTGCTAAGCCGTCTCGTTTGCGATCGATGTAAGTCAAGACTGGTAGTCGTTCCTCCCAGTAGTTTTTGATTCCGAGTAATGCTTTTATTGCTCGTGCGGTGTTCTTCTTCCACTCAATGAAGTTAGAACCGTTCGTGGTGAGTGATTCGAATTTAATCTCATCGCCCAGGTTTTCTTTCGCCTCTGTGATGTCTTGCGCAGTGATCGAGCTCTGATCGTGAGGTAAGGTCGTTGATGTTTGTTTCTGCTTGGTAGACATGTTTGATATGAAGTAACGTGCAGGGAAAATAATCGGGTTGGGGTTGTATAATTTCGTAGGGTTTTCAAAAGGTAGCGTAGATAGTGGAGAGGGCTGTGTAAGTTGTCTAGTAACGGTGTAGTAGGGTTTCGTAGGATTATCGGTAAGAGTTAAACGTGAGAGACTGTCTGCGATCTCCGATTCGGGCGTAAACGTAGAAGGTATACTTAAAGCAAATTCGTCTTGTGTATTTGATTCACAAGATTGAATACAAGCAGATGGAGGTAATGGAATGTGGGAGTGGGTTTGTGATGAGTCAGGAATAAGCGTCGAAGTTAACTCAATCTGATCAGTCGGTGAATCAAGTAAAGGAGGAAGTATTGAAAGATTAAGGTTGAGTGGAGATGGGGGAAGCGGAGGTAGTAAGGATAAATTGTAGGATGGCAGAAGATTACTCGAAGTAGCTAGTTCAGGTAGAGTTTGTTTGTTCCGTGGAGTTCGCTTTCTTCGTTTTGGTGGAGATCTCGGATTCGCTGCATAATCACGTCTTCTAGTCTGCATTCAAGGTTGATCGATTCGTCAAATCGAGAGCGCAGGCTCATAACCTGTAGTGAACATATAGAAATGAGAAAAACACATAAGCACGAAATAGAGGTTGGATTCCACAATGATGATATCTACCTGTAGTGACATATAGAATGAGAACAACACATAAGCACGAAATAGAGGTTGGATTCCACAATGATGATG